AAGGAAATGGCAACCCACTCTAGTATTCTTGCCTGGGAAATACCATGGACAGAGAAGCCTGGCAGGCTACAGCCTATGGGGTCTTAAAGAGTTGGATATGACTTAGCAACTAAACAACAACAAAAATTCCTAGTTTGCTGACAGTTTTTTTTAAAACCATGAATGGATGTTGAATTTTATGCTTTTCCACATTCATTGATCTGATCACTTAGTTTTCTTCTTCAGACTGTTATAGTGTAGATTAGACTGATTTATCTTTATTGAACCATCCTCTTATTCACTGAATAAACCTCATTTGGTCATGGTATATTGTTATTTTTATATATTGCTGGATTTGATTCACTAACATTTTGTTGAGGATTTTGTGTCTATGTTGATATTAGTTGTTGATCTGTCTGATTTTATAATCAAGGTAATGCTGGTCTCCTCTGGAAGTGTTCTACCTTCTGGAACAGATTGAATAGAATTAGTGTTATTTATCAGACAAGACAATGGCACCCCACTCCAGTACTCTTGCCTGGAAAATCCCATGGACAGAGGAGCCTGGTAGGCTGCAGTCCATGGGGTCACTAAGAGTCGGACATGACTGAGCGACTTCACTTTCACTTTTCACTTTCATGTATTGGAGAAGGAAATGGCAGTCCACTCCAGTGTTCTTGCCTGGAGAATCCCAGGGACAGGGGAGCCTGGTGGGCTGCCATCTATGGGGTAGCACAGAGTCAGACATGACTGAAACAACTTAGCAGCAGCAGCAGCAGTGTTATTTATTCTTTAACTTTTTTGGTATAATTCACCAGTGAAACTATCTGGGTAAATTCAATTTCTGTAATACTTGGAGGACCATTGACATGAGTTATGTAATCTTGGGTGGATTTTGGTTATTTGCTAGAAGTTTTATAGTTTCACCTTTCACATTTAGGTCACATTTACCTGGATTTAACTTTTGCATGTGATTTGAGGTAAAAGTCAAGTTTTATTTCTTCCCCATGTTTCTCTAATTTAATAAGTTTGATTATTTAAAGTTATTATCATTTACAACCATTCCGCAGTGCCTTCTTTGCCATAAGTCAATTATCCATATATGTATGTTTTTTTATGGACTCTTGATTCTGTTTTGTTGGTCTACATGTCTGTCATTGGGCAATACCACACTTTGCTAGTTATGGTAGCTTGACAGGTCTCAATATCTAGGAAAGGAAGCCCTCCTGCTTTGTTTATCCTCCTCAAGACTTCTTTGGCTATTTAATGGTCCTTTCTATTCCTATAAAAATTTTAGAAAAATCAGTTAAAGTCTACCAAAATTGGTGAAAAAACAAAGAAATGCTGTTCTCTTCAGGAAGGTAGTCAAATTATTTAACCTAACATTGCTGGAAGTGGAACTACATTTGTTCTACTTTTTAAAAATTTGATGCAGCACTTCAGTAGGCAAGGTACCATGAAAGTACCAAGGCACACATCACCACCATATAAGATAATCTTAAAATAGTAGAGAATATATTTTTATACATTTATTTCTATTTATTTGGCTGCACTGGGTCTTAGTTGCAAAATATATGATCTTTAGTTGCTACATGTAAACTCCTAGATGTGATATGTGGGATCTCATTCCTTGGCTACAGATCAAACCCAGGCCTCTCCTGCATTGGGAGCACAGAGTCTTAGCCACTGGACCACCAGGGAAGTCCTGCTAAATGTATTCTTTAAATCCAAAACTCAACTGCCAAGAAAAGAAAGGGTATCTCTTAAGCCAAAAATACTGAGAGATTGCAAACCCCTAGAATCAATAGGAACTACAAACAATAAAATCAAGTCTAGAAGTAAGTCATTATTGAAAATATTAGATCTTAAGTATAAAATAAGTTTTATATACTTAAAAAATAAGATGAAGGGTTGCAAGTTGGACTGAGTAACAAGGTACTATTTTAAAATGACCAGGTGGATTAAAAAAGACCATTTAGAACTGCTAGACATAAAAATAAGGATGAAATTAGAAGTTCAATGGATGAAGGTAAACAGGCTGAATCCAAAGAGTAGTTTAGTGAACTGGAATATAGTTGTGAATTCACTAATCAGTCAGGTTAGAGAGACTAAAACAGCCAGAGTTTCAGAAGATGATAGGGAAAAAAATAGAGAATCAATATGGAAAGGCATAATGGCAGTTTCTCACAATCCTCAGTCCAAAATCTCACAAGCAGTTTATTGTGTAAAATGTTAGTGGTAGATGTTGATGGCAGGTATATGGGTGTTCATATCATATTTTCTTCAGTTTGACTATTAGAAAATTTTCATAATAATAAAATAAATAAATAAACCCCATTAAAGGAAAATGAATAAAAGTGAGAACAGAAATTTAAAAAATGAACAAAATTAGAGAGAATCAACACAGACCTGATTTGTTCTTTTGAAAGATTAAACTTGAACATAATCAATCAAGAAGAAGCAATGGATATAAACATATTAGAAATGCAAAGGATGCAATAGCTGCAAATACATCAGAGATAAAGATGTGAGAATATTATGAACAACGTCCAAGTAGTGAATATGAAAACTTTAGTGAAAATAGGCAAAGTCTCAGAAAAATATTATTACAAACTGACTCAAGTAGAAATAGAAAACACAAGTGATTATACAACCATTAGAGAAACTAATGTAGGGAGATTTTTACTACAAAAGGTCACAAGGCCCTGAAAACTTTACAGACACTTTCTATCAAAAGGAAGAGATCACTGCCATCTTATATAAACTGCTTCAGGAATGGCAAAAAGAAGACATATTATCCTGTCTAAATTAAACTGTCAAAAATAAGTAGTTTATTTATAAAACTAAAATAACTTGATACCAAAACAAATAGCACTTACATTGATAGAAAATTATATACCAACCTCACTCATTCATGCAGGTTAAAAATCCTAATCAAGAGTAAGTCCAACCACATCTTGTACATGAACGTTCATAGCAGCATTTTTCATAACAGCCAAGAAATGAAAGCAACCCAAATATTCACCAAATGATGAATGGGTAAATAAAATGTAGCATGGATACATGGTGCAATGTTATATAAGCAGCCACACAATGAAATCAGATCCATGAAATGACAAGGATGGACCTTGAAAACAATATACTGAATGAAAGAAACCAGCCAGAAAGACCACTCTTTTGGGTTTCTGGAGCCAGTTCCAATGCTTGGGTGTTGATTGGAGTGGGTTCACACTAACACCAAGCATTTCCCAGACACCAGCAAGGTGTCTGAGAATTCAACTCGATTCTGACACTTTGTACCCAGAGACAGCATCAGATTCCACAGGTTATGGATTCAGTCTTAACAAGACTGCCCACTCCCTTCAACTTCAGATGCCAGTCACAAGCCCAGGTTTTTATCTGTGCTTCTGCCTGACAGGCTACAAATTGGAGGTTCCCACATCCCCTTTCTTCAGTTTGACTACTTTGCTAGGGCAGCTCACAGAAATCAGGGAACCATGGACATTTACTAGTTTATTATAAAAAGTGACAATAAAGGATGCAGATGATCATCCAGATGGAAGTGGTATATGAATAGAGGCTGCACTACTGAGAAAGGCTGGTTCCCAGATGGGGTACACACAAAAGAAGAGAGAATTAATTGTATCCTTATTTCACCAGCATAAGTTACAATTAGGTCAGGCTAGGTTATTACTTAAATGTAAAGGAGCCACCAGGGGAGCCCAGGAGAAAGCTTAATAACTTAGGAGAAAGTGTGGGAAAACAAACTATGACCTCAGCATAGGAAAAATTCTTTAAATAAAATACAAGAGCAAGCTACTCAGAAAAATATTGGTATATTACATTAAAAGTGAGAACAATTCTTCATTTAAAAATGCCATACAAAGAAAGAAAAACCAGCTATAAAATGTGATGGACTATTAGCAACACACACTACCAACAAATTATCACTTTCCTAGGTATGTGAGGAAGTACTGAGAAAAATCAGAAATATACAAACACTTCAGTATAAAGATTAGCAAAACCAAACCTAATCTAAACAGATAATTCATAGAAGAGAAAAATAAGTGAGTCAAGTAGATGAAAGGATGGCCAGTTGATTACATTATTAGGGGCATGGAAAATCAAACCACAAGAGGATATGTTTTCCCCCAGATCAAGTGGGTGGTAGTCAAGTTGAAGGTGCCCACATCCCTGGGTGCATGCTGGTAAGAGCCTCCAAACTGGAAGCGACCCAAATGACCATTGTTGGTGGAACAGTTAAATAAATCATGCAATGGAACCATCTATGATAATGAAAACAAATGAAATAGGGCTAGTGCATTTACACGGATGGATGTGAAGTATGTATAAATGGAGTGAAAATAGAAGTCACCAAAAATGCACTCAATATGGTTCTGTCGATCAAAGTTCAAAACACGCAAAACAAAACAGTATGTCACTTAAGGACACTCACACACTCATAAAATCATATTTAAAAAGAAAAGAAGTGATAAACACTAAATTCGAGATTGTGCTCATCCCATTGTAGATGAGAAGGCTGCAGTAGAAGGGGGCAGGTCCTCCTCCACGTGTGTCATGCGTCATGTAACAGTGGTATATTCTACCTCTGAAGCTGACTGGTAGGGCCATAGGTGTGTGTTGCACACATGTTTTCACTGTATTGTGTAAAGTATCTTCAAATGCACTTGGGATGCCTTTACTAGAGCTTTCATAAGTATGACTGATCTTTTCAGGATTTAATCTCTCAGGCATCATAAGCCTGTCAGATACATCAAACAAATTCTTTTTGGGGGAGATTTTGGCCAATCATTTCCATGGTGAATAAAGGCAGGGCTTCATGCGAAGGCCAAATTGGCCATATTGTATTTGCAAGCTCTCCTTGTGATGTGCAGGCCGAGCTGCACAGGACTCATTCACTTTCCGCGGGCAGCTGCTCAAGTAGAGACATGCTCAGCTGCCTTCCCTTGGGCAGCCCAGCCAGAAACTGTTAACCTGAATCCTGGGACACTGGTTTCTAGGAGGAGCGCAGAGCAACCAACTCCTTAAGCAGTGGAGCTGTGACATGGACGAGGAAATTCAGCCTGGATTATTTAGCCTTGGATTTCAACTCAGCATCACCAGCCCCTGTACAGCAGGTAGGAAGTACTCTGTATCAGAATTCCCAAGAGGTTTCATTTCTGTTTGGTTTTGTTTTGATGATTCCACCATGTGTGTTCTTTTTGCAGAGTCTTAAACATAAAGACATGTACTGTGAAGAATCTTAAAATCAGCTCTAATTCTGTCTCCCAGAAATAGTGGTGTTTTTCCCTCTGGGGTGTGTTCTTGAATGTCTATGTATAAATGTATGTAGTGTTCATGCTCTTCAAAACTTGGACCATAGAGTTTCTTGGGAAATGTCTGGCAGAGATGAGGGTGGGGTAAATGGTAGACCAGGCACAGGAAGGGTCTGCTGAAGGAAGAAGGGATAGTCTTGTTTGTCTCAACTCTTGGCACTGGGGACAGAAACTCTCAGCTGCAATCAGAACCCCTCCATAAAGGGCCTCAAGTGGCAGGTGGCAGTTTTGACGTAGTAGTCTCGTCTGTAAAGTGGGGATTAGAAATAATAGCTATGTTGAAGCCTGTTGTGAGGATTAAATGAGTTAATACATGTAACAGACCCTAGCCATTGACCATTGTCACTCACTGCACATGGCATGAATGACTGGCAAAGAGTGGACAAAAGCTAAATATTTTTGAGCAAAGGATGGTCATAGTCTAAACTGTGCTAACAATGTATTGTTTGATGAGAAAATCAACTTGCTGAACAGGATATACAATATGATTTCATTTTGTGTTTGTGGAGAAAGTTGTTTGGGAGACTTCCCTTCCCTTTTGCTGAAGGGACTTCTCCTTTACCTTTCATTTCATTCCCAAAACCTACAATGACACTTCAGAAAAGCTGGTCAGCAGGATGAGACCAGTAAATTCAAACAGTGAAGAGAGTCCCCAGACCTCCATGGCTTTCAACCACAAAGGCTTCTCAGTTGTTGCCTACAGGACAGTCCATCACAGCCATGGCCTTGGTGTCTCAGGTCATTGTCAATTCAGGGGCCACTGTCTTGGCAGAGGAAAAAGAGAGATGGCAGGATTGCAGGGTGTCACCTCTGCTCACAGTATACTGGACAAGGCGAGTTAGATGGCAAGAGCCAAGTTGAAGGGAGTAGGGTTGAGGAGAGATTCTCACTCACACACACACACACACACACACACACACACACAGAGTGTAACACTTCTGCATATGACGGCCCAGAAGGAAGGGACAGCAAACGCGTGAACCTGTAATCCACCAGGGACGTGCTGAATTTTTTCGATTAGGTGTAATGAAAACCTTTTTGTTCTCCCCCTTCAGAAAATTCTCCTTTCAGAGGATCAGAGAGTGGACTATGTCCAAGTGGATGAGCAGAAGACACAAGCTCTTCAGAGCACAAAGCAGGAGTGGACGGATGAGAGGCAGTCCAAAGCGTGACAGGGTTGGGCTGCAGGTGGGAGGTGGGGCTCGCTTTGAGTTTTTCCGCTGGAAGCCCACTGATGCTCAACACAGGTCAAGACGCAGAGAGTCTTGACAAGACCCTCTGGGAGAGAGGACCCATTTGTACACACTGACTGGGGAGGAGCAGGAAGTGGTCTCCTCCCAGAGGGGCTCTCAGGGGGGCCAGCCCCTGCCCTGACCCCCACCAATCACAGCATTTCTGGTCACAGCCACATGTGCCTCTGCTGAGCCTCAGACCAATGTGGTGTTGGCTCCACAGTCACGAGCAGCAGAGAGAGAGGATTCCACAGCCATGGACTGGGATGTAGAAAACTCCATTTGGGCAGGGTGGGAACAATCGAAATGGAAGTTGGGTTAAACATCTCCAATGGAGCATTTGAATTGCACATTAGAGCCAGTATCGCTGCCCAAAAGATGACATCATTTGCTTCCAACGCTTGAACTTTTGATCTCTCTCCTGTGCTTCCATTGGAATAATAAATTATCATAGGAGACATGCACCTGGACACCGTCTTGCCCCCACCAGAAGACACAGTGCAAGAGACCAAGCCTAGGGATGGTGACAGAATATGTACTCCTTACTCCAAGGAATCCAGCAGACAAGTATTTCTGTCCTCCAAAGAAAGACAACACAAGTGATGGGGCATTGAGTCCCAGGCTCCACGATGAGCAGATCACATGACACTGGTGGCTCTAAGAACATGGTGCTTAAGCAGCCACCCATGGCTGGGTGTCCCGTTGCTGTTGGCCTTTTCCCAGTGTTCTTTCACATTCATCATCTCATCTCTTCCCCTAAAAGATCTCAGAAGTTAGTCTTGGCAGAGATCATTGCTCCAGCTTTGAGGGAAAAGATGCTAAGAACTGGGGGAGGGAACACTTTGCCCAAGATGAATCATGCCAAGAGAGCCAGTCAGGCTTCTTCTGCTGTCTCTTGCTGCCTCAATCAGGGTAACTTTGGAGACCGGTGGGAAATACATGCAAACACGGGATGGCTCGTTGTCCCCTCTCCTTTTCATAGGATTTTGAGCAGGTGCTTTTTATAATTGAAAGGTATGCATGTCAAACCAGGGTTTCTTCGTGTGGTGTTCAAACAGGGCACTCGAACATAATCAGCAGTTACCATCAGAGATACCTCCTGAAAATCAGTATGAAGTCCATTTTGGTTCATGTGGTCCACTTGGCAGTGCATTTCCTGTGAGCCACCCTGGGGAAGACTATCCCTGGTCATCCTGTGCTGGACTCAAGCTTTCAAGTGATAGTTATGATCAGAAAAAAACACCCAGCCAGCTCCAGTATCAGGGGTCTTGCCTAACTTTCCCCTTCTGCTTTACTAGTGACTAGGTCCTGAGAGGGCAAACGTTCCCACTGTGCAACGAGGGCACGTTGTCAGCCCTTCCTTTATGAGACACTGGGGTTCCAGGGAGAGGTACAGAAAAAAGGCTCAATTGAGCACAGGGTTTTACTTAATGCCCTTCCTGATTGTTCTGAGCATCTGCAGCTGAAAGACAAATTTGAACAACTGGGTAATAAATAGAGACTGTTATCCTGTCCTGCCACTGTGTGGTACACATGGGGGTGGAGGAGGTAGGTAGGCAGGTCTATGACAGTCGGCATTGGTCAGGGCAGTTGTAGGCTTTGCTACAGGGTTTCAAACTGCTCTAAATGTAAGTGCAAAAATTTGTTTTTTCAGATCATAAAAGAAGTAATTTTAATGTTCAAAATGATAGGATCTCGTGACATCATTTTCTTCCCAGAGCAAGATGGGGGAAATTGCCAAGTTCTTTAATTGAGTATTTAGTAAGTCTGGATGGAGCCACAAGAGGGCTCCTGGACCCCATGGCCTGCTCCTCAGCCAGAGCCTGTTAAGGAGCTGCCTTCTTTGTGTGTGACTTGCAAAGAGTCACAGAGCCTCAGGCAAGAACCCAGGGGTACAGACAGCTAGTTCCCATAGATGGTGGCTTCCTCATGTGTGGGCCACCTGTGTTTAGATCACTGCCTGACAAAGGCCAGTGCAGAAAAAAGTGTACATCTGAGAATCAAGAACCTAACCACATTGAAGATAGATTGGAAAAGTAAATGCAACTGAAATTATGTCAGCAGTGAAATGTCATCCAATTGACCAAAAAAGAAATATTTTTCTATAAAACGTTTCCAGGGACATGTTTACTGCACTAAGCAATAGACACTTGAGTGGTGTGACTTTTTTGGAAGTGATTTGGGGTTTTACAAATATCACTTCACCCTCATTTTCAGGGTGTATGCGTTTATGTCTTGCTTTGATAAAACTGCTAATGGATGGCTACACAAAAACATAACAATTCATGGACCCAAAATACAGGTAGTTTTTGAGCTGACTGCAGCATATGCTCCTGAGAAAGGCACCATAAATCACAACAATGGATGCTAGCCAGATCTTGTTTTCTGGCAGAGATAATCCACATGTAATAAAGAGCTATGATTCTGATGGGCTTGGAGGGATTTTCTTTTAAAAAAGAAATAATCTCTGACACCACTCCAACACAAGTGCACATGGCGTGTCTGTGCACTGTGCATAGTACACCTTTCTAGAAAATTTGGGCGTCAACATAAAAGGGAAAAGGCATCAATTAATCCTCCATTGTTTTCTGTAGTTCCTTTTTGCTTCATTTCCTTCCGTCTCATTTCATTAGGAAATACCTTCAGGTCAGGGGTTGTGTCATGCCAAAAGGGGGACTGAAGGTTTTCATGCCTGCAACTCCCTAAGTCCACAAGCCCAGGATGTTGGGAGTTAAAACTTTCCATGGGGAGGAGGAACTTGAGGCCCAGCACATAGCCCAACTCTAAGGGCATCGAGTGACCCTGGGGACTGACTGTCCAGGCCACTTCATGCAGTAAGCAGCAGCTGAATTGTGGCTTTTAGGTGCCACGGGAGACTGAAGGCACCCTTCAGGCCTGGCTTTCCCCTCTCAAGACCTCATGCTCGGCTCCTGTTCAAACCACGTTTGTATCTGCAATCATGCTGATTTTAAAAAATTCACTGTTTTTACTGTTTCATTTCTGGCATTAATAAAAGTTATAAGAAGAATCATGACCTAAGCATTCTCTTATTTAAGTAATGACCTCTGATAAAAACTCAGAACACATTTTGAAGGCTGAGTGTTGAAAACAGACTTTCCTGCTGTTTTCAAGTACAACAGGCCTAACCTGACTCACATGGAATGCCCCACATCCATGTTACTTTGCTGCAAGCTGTTCAGCAGGTGGCTGGAACAAGCACTGCATCTGATCAGCCAAACCACGTCTTTTTTGAGGTCAGAAACTAGCTTCCGTAGTTGACAGTAAAATCAATGGCCCTGCCAGATACCACAGATAAGGTGACCTTCGGTACTGACATTAAAAGGCAACAGCACCCAGGCTGCCTCCCTACAGCAGGGGTCTGTTGTGCCCTCACCTCTTTTCCCCATGGCTGATGCTCCCAGCTGCCCTGGGTGCTGGGTCAGCAGCATCTCTAGGACATGATGTAAGGCAGAGACAACCAGAGTAGCCAGGGCTCGGGTTTGGGGGAACTAGACCCTATAGGCACAGACCCTACAGTCAAGTGGATTCCTGGTGCTGAGAGAAAGGAGAAGCCACGTGAACTTCCTCACCCTCCGTGGTCAAGGACCAGGCAGATTACTGCAAATGGCTAACCTGAGAAGCAAGGGCCATGAAACCTAACCAGAAGGTCTCTGAGCCCCGGGCCCCTTGAGCTCTGGCCCCCTTACTCCACCAGGAACCTCCCTAAGTTTCCAGTTTCAACTTTATTTTCTTTGATCTTAAATTGCATTAATTATTAATTCTTTATTTTAATTGTGCCATTTTTTTCTCATTAAACTTTTTTTAATGGGTCTCAAATTCTGTGACAGATTTTTGGTCAAGTTGTTTTCATTAAAAAGTACTGATTTTAAAAACTAATAACTTAAACTGCCACACACAAAACATATGGTCCACAAAAACAATTTCCTTTCCTTCTGAAGGTTTTACGATGCATTGTTATCATTAACCAGTCTTTTACTATTAAACTTAAATGGCCAATTGAGACAAACAGTTCTGAGACCGCTCTTCCACCACTAAGACTGGGGTGGCAGGTGTTGGGGATAATATTCATTTAGCCTTCTGAGCTTTCTGGGCAGACTTGGTGACCTTGCCAGCTCCAGCCGCCTTCTTGTCCACTGCCTTGATGACACCCACAGCGACTGTCTGTCTCGTGTCACACACAGCAAAACGGCCCAGGGGAGGATAATCAGAGAAGCTCTCGACACACATGGGCTTGCCAGGAACCATATCAACAATGGCAGCGTCACCAGATTTCAAGAATTTAGGGCCATCTTCCTGCTTTTTCCCAAAACGACAATCAATCCTCTTCAGCTCAGCAAACTTGCAAGCGATGTGAGCTGTGTGACAATCCAGCACAGGTGCATATCCAGCGCTGATTTGGCCTGGATGGTTCAAAATAATCACCTGAGCTGTGAAGCCAGCAGCTTCCATGGGTGGATCATTTTTGCTGTCTCCAGCCACATTGCCACGACGGACATCTTTGACAGACACGTTCTTGACATTGAAGCCCACATTGTCCCCAGGAAGGGCTTCACTCAATGCTTCATGGTGCATTTCTACAGACTTCACTTCAGTTGTTACACTGACTGGAGCAAAGGTGACCACCATGCCAGGTTTGAGAATACCAGTCTCCACACGACCCACAGGGACAGTACCAATACCACCAATTTTGTAGACATCCTGGAGAGGCAAATGCAAGGGTTTGTCAGTTGGGCGAGTTGGTGGCAGGATGCAATCCAGAGCTTCAGGCAGGGTGGTTCCACTGGCATTGCCGTCCTTATGGGTGACTTTCCATCCCTTGAACCATGGCATGTTAGCACTGGGCTCCAGCATGTTGTCACCACTCCAGCCAGAAATTGGCACAAATGCTACTGTGTCAGGGTTGTAGCCAATTTTCTTAATGTGGGTGCTGACTTCCTTAACAATTTCCTCGTATCTCTTCTGGCTATAGGGTGGCTCAGTGGAATCCATTTTGTTAACTCCAACAATTAGTTGTTTCACACCCAGAATGTAAGCCAGAAGGGCATGCTCACGGGTCTGCCCGTTCTTGGAGATACCGGCTTCAAATTCACCAACACCAGCAGCAACAATCAGGACAACACAGTCAGCCTGGGATGTGCCTGTAATCATGTTTTTGATGAAGTCTCTGTGTCCGGGGGCATCAATGATGGTAACATAGTACTTGCTGGTCTCAAATTTCCACAGGGAGATATCAATGGTGATACCACGCTCACGTTCAGCTTTCAGTTTGTCCAAGACCCAGGCATATTTGAAGGAGCCCTTTCCCATCTCGGCAGCCTCCTTCTCAAACTTCTCAATTGTTTTCTTGTCGATCCCGCCACATTTGTAGATCAGATGGCCAGTCGTAGTAGACTTCCCTGAATCTACGTGCCCAATGACAACAATGTTGATGTGGGTCTTCTCCTTTCCCATTTTGGCTTAGGTTTAACGGTGGTTTTCACGACACCTCTGTCCTGGTGGCAAATCCGTTGCGAAAAAGGTGCATTTATTTTTATAAATTTAGTTTTTATTTTCTGAGAGAGAGTGGCACTGCGCAGCCTGGAGCAGGGAGTCCGATGGAAGAGAGCAGAACTAAGACAGAGACCCCTCCCACATGGGCACCTCACTGACAGCAGATGGGGCACTGGAGAGCATAAGGGACAGGGTGGCCTTTCCAATCAAGGCTGGTCACTAGAACTACATGATGCAGATCGTGAACCTGACATGGGACCAAAGCCGTGCCGCCTGCAGTGGAAGCCTGGAGTCCTGACCACTGGACCACCACGGAATTCCCTGCGTTCCAGAGTCTTTAAAAAGAAATAGAGAAATAAACATTTAGTTCAATGTTTCTAACTTTTGGAATATATTAATACTTTCAGGAAATAACCATTAATGGAAAGAATTATATACATGAATTCCACTGAATCATTAACCAAAGTAATGAAAAAATTGTCAACAACTTGCAGAG